CTTTTGAACCAATCCATGAATCCAATCCACCATAACATAAAAGTATAAATTTAGTTCGTACAATACAAGAGAGACGACTCTAAAATATTAAAAGAGAGCAGTTATAAACTCATTTAATATATTTACGGGTTACTAAATAAACTTCTACTAACTACTTGTAACAAAATATGCGACATCTACATAAGCAAGTGTCAATAAATTGCTACGGTGAAAATGGTTGATTAATTGTTGTATTGACGTCAACTAAAAGAATTGGTCAAAACCTTTCCATCATCTACTTCCTCTTCGTTTCAGTTTTCACTCGCCTTCCATAATCCTTTTATTATTTGTTTCTTTGCCTTCTTCGTCTAACCCTACTTAGTATACTATTTTTATGTATTCTAACCACAATTATAAATATATATGGTCATGAAAAAATTTAAGTGAGTTCCAGTTTGTATTCCTTTTGCTTCTCTCTATAGTTTCTCTTTTCCACCCAGACTAGAATTTTAAAAAATTATACATGAAATATTTGGCTAGGTATCTACACATATCAAATAAATAGTTTTCATTTTTTTATTGAAAAAAGTAAATAGCTATCATCTTAAATACATCGTCATAAAAAAGAATTCAGTCTCAACTATGCAAATTACAGTTTTATACATAAACTTAATAGATCTTCAGATTTATAACCAAATTTTTTTTGGCATATAAGTCCTCAAAATGTTGATGGAACATTATATTTTAGTACATAAATTTTTTTATGTATTACATTTTGATACCTAAACTTTTAAAGTTCTACAAATAGTTTTAATTTTTGTATGTGTAATTAAAACACTCTCGAATAAATGGGTATTCATACCCAACTCATACATATTTAGATTATGAAAGTAAATATTCAAACTCTACCCAAACCCATCTATAAACTTCTAAACCCATATATATGTCACCCATACCTACCTATAATCAATGGGTCTACTCGGATTTAGGTAAATATCATTTACTAGCCATAAAATTTTCAAAATAAATTAAAATTGGATGTTGACCGTTATATATCTCTTCCCAGTCAATATCATATGGTCGTCAATATTACTAACAAAATTGTTAATAAAAAATTAATTTCAAACTAATAATACTAATAAAACACCATAACGGACCACATAATACATGCACATAGGTAATCTTCACTCCGCGACAAGTCGCGCCATCACCACCTAGTTATTATATAAATGGGTAGAGTTTGATCCATTGATAAACATTTCAAAATTAAATCCAGTCCCTTATATTTTAGATTGAATAGAATTTTAATCCATAAATTTGGATTTTTATTCATGCTCATTTCAAAATTAAATCTTAATAGCTAAACTTAACATATTTTACAATTGGATATCTGAACTTTGAATTTGATTTTTTTTTGTTTTTTGCATTAATTTGGCTTACCCAACATTCATGGTTTTTTCTAGGGGTGGCTATACAGCCCGGTCCGGTTAAATTGGTCCGAATTGATCCGGTTCCAGTCCTCTCTTTTCGGGAATATAAGGACCAAAGATGGGATTGGATACAGTCCGGTCTTGATCCGGTCCGGTCTTGACCCGATCCGGTCCCAATTCGATTTTGATTTTAGATTGAGCTTGTGGGGATTAGAGTGGCCTGAGGATTCAAAGGATGAGGAGTTGGTTAACTTTTGGGTGTTGGGCTCTCTTATCCGGTCTTTATCATGTTTTTGATCCGGTCCGAAACATTTTTTTACCTCAAATCTAAACCCAAAAATTATATTGGATTGTTTACTATCCAGTTCCAGTCCAGATTATATGGTCCGGTTTCAGGTAAAACCAAATAACTCAGACCAAATAGCCATCCCTAGTTTTGTATATATAAAGATAACCGGACATGTTTAGGAACTTGCAACTATTAGTTAGTTAGCTAGTTAGTCAATAAACACAGCAGCGCAGCCAGCACGTTAAACACTTCATCTTCTGTAGCATTGCAGAAAACAATTGCGTCGTCTGCATACAAGAGATGAGAGACCTGACCGCGAAGATCATTCTCATCAAAGTGGAAACCCGATATGAGACCTGCCTCCTGCAAAGATTCAATAATATACGAGAAGATATCCATAACAATGCTGAACATAAGGGGGGAAAGCGGACCCCCCTGCTAGAGATCTCGCTTTTTGGTATCTAAATTTTATGAGCTTTCGTACCTGCAATTTTTTAAATTTACATATTGGTCCACTGTTTAGATTTCACTTGAATCCATGAATCCAATCCACCATTCCATGAATCCAATCCACATAACATTAAAGTATAAATTTAGTTTATACCATGCAAGATGTTGTTTCACTCAACTGTAGGAGAAGATTCAACCATTTTGGTCTTCCAAGAGATTTTTACTTAAAAAAAATGTATGTTATCCATTTGAAATACTAATTACCATTTTTAAAATAACATTCTTTTCGGTGATGTGACACCATATTTAGTAAAATATAATACGAGTACATTAAGATATTGATCTGTATGAAGTTTTTCTATGATATTTTAATAGAACAATGTTTAAAAAAATCAATAGTAATACAAATAATAATTTAAAATTAATATAACTATAAAAATGATCAAACCTTTTCATCATTTACTTCCTCTTCGTTTCATTTTTCACTCGCCTTCCATAATCCTGTTTTTATTTCTTTCTTTGCCTTCTTCATCTAACCCTAATTAGTATACTATTTTTAGGTATTCTGATCACAAGTATGAATGGGTCCATACACAACTGACCAACAGTCTAGAGAATTTATAATTGAACCCACTAACTTTTTCAGCTTAATGTCGAGTCCACTTAAAATATATATATATATATATATATATATATATATATATATATATATATATATATATATATATGGTTATTACTAATTAGAAGTCGTCATTTTCCACTATAGAATTTAAGGCGTGAAATTTTAAGCGAGTTCTAGTTTGTATTCTTTTTACTACTCTCTAAAGTTTTTCTTTTTCACCTGGGCTAGAATTTTCAACATTTATACATTTCAAATAAATAGTTTCCTATTTTCTATAAAAAATGTAAATAATTATCATCTTAAATGCATCACCATAAAAGGAATTAAGCCTCAACTATGCAAATTACAATTCGGTACCTAAACTTAATAGATCTTTAGATTTATAACCTAAATTTATTTTTTTTGGCATATAAGTCCTCAAAATATTGATGGAACCTTACATTTTAGTACCTAAAATATTTGTGTATTACATTTTGGTACCTAAAATTTTGAAGGTCTAGAAATAAGTCTAATTTTTTATTTGTAATTAAAACATCCTCGAATAAATGGGTATCCATACCCAACACATACACATTTTGATTACGAAAGTAAAATTCATACCCTACCCAACCCATCTAAAAACTTCCAAAACAATACATATATCACCCATACCCTAGTCCCTACCCATAATCAATGGGAATACAAGGGTATAGGTAAATATCATTTATTAACAAAAAAAATTAAAAATTTTAAATTGGATGTTGACCGCAATGTATCTCTTCTCAGTCAATATCATATTGTCAAGGCAATATTACTAACAAAATTGATAAGAAAAAATTAATTTTAGGCTAATATTACTAACAGAACACTATAACGAACCACATAATAAATGCCAATTGACCATCTCCGCCCGCGACAAGGGGTGGTAGTTATTCTTATTTACTAATGATTGCAGAAGAGTAGATTAATAATTCTAGAATTTTAAAAGGTACAAAGGCATGATGATACCGGCGAATTGTTGGTACACATATAAAGGGAGGAACTTTCCATAAAATATATTCGAATAGTACTACTTATTGCCAACCATATGGAACAAAAGAATGAAGTCGGTACATGCAATAAACCAGCAATCAAACATGTATAGGTTTAAGAATCCATATTCGTTTCAGAGGTTTAGGCTCCATCAACAATAACTACGTTTATTCTTCCATCTTACATTCAAAGTTCAATACTTAAAAAGCTTCTTAATTTATTATGGACGTTAAACTATTCCCACGTTATATATAGTTTCCTGATTCTGCAATTCGTGACCAAATTCCAACATTAGCTGTGGCAGCAGATCAAGCTGCACAGCATATTGCTGATGATGTTTCCAGCGAGCAACCATATCTACCCACGTAACCCTCGCTTACCCCTTACTCACCCTTGCTTACCTTCTTTTCTTAATGCATGCTATGGACCTCTGTACATATAGTACTAGATAATTATTAAACGGTATGGTCCTTCCTGAATTCTGATTATCTTTGTTCCCTTATCCAGTCGTGTTAAAAAAAATATATATATCTATATATTTCTCGGGAGGAATTGAAGTTTTCTTAATTGAGATCAATTAAGAAAAAAGACCAAGCACTATGGACGGTTTTGTGTTATTGCCTTGCAGACATGGTGAATCACGTTTGACGCCAGCGATCTATATAGATCCAGCGACTAGATCGAGTAGTAACGAGAACTGACTCGTTTGACGAGATCACTCCAATATCAGGCGAAGCTTTGCTTAGTTCGTTTGGCATTGAAGCAATTTGTTACCAAGTCTTGTATTTTAGTAAAAGGTTTGGCAAAATGTTGTATTGTGGTGAGAACTTGTTTTACTAACAGTCTAACACGGGTATTTCGGAAAATTAATTTCCCCGGTGGTTAGTATAGTCCAAATCAACCAAGTGACCCACAAACACCTAGTAGCTGCGTGGGCCATCAATCTATAAGAATATCGATCATCATCATCATGTCATGGACTGTAATCTGTAAAACAGGGGAAGTATATGTACAACTAGTCAACTACCACAAAATTAAGTTCATGCATCCAAACTCCTCCCATAGTCCCCACTCTGCCACTCCCCTGTTCTCCTTCTCCTATTTATACTCCCCAATTCCTCCATTGCCTTTTCATATCTCCCCCCCAACTCTTCCTTCCATCCATCCATCTCTCAGACATACAAAACAAAACAAAACAAAGGGACAAAAACACAGCAAGATGCCGTCGTCTTCCACCACCGTGGTCTCCAAATGCACCGTCATCCCGCCCCTCAAACCCACCCCCGCCGCCGTCAAAACCCTCAAGCTCTCTGTTTCCGATCTCCCCATGCTTTCCTGCCACTACATCCAGAAGGGAGTTCTCCTCCCCCGCCCTCCTTATTCCTCCACCGATCTCATCACATTCCTCAAACACTCCCTCTCCCTCGCCCTCTCCCACTTCCCCGCCCTCGCCGGCCGCCTCGTCACCGATCCCACCGGCCACGTCCACATCTCCTGCAACGACGCCGGCGTCGAATTCATCCACGCCAAAGCAGGCCACCTCTTCCTCCGTGACATCCTTACTTCAGGGGACGTCCCTGAATTCGTCAAGGAATTTTTCCCGTTCGACAACACGATTAGTTACTCGGGACACTCCCGGCCCCTCGCCGCCGTACAGTTCACGGAGCTCGCTGACGCCGTCTTCATCGGCTGTGTCGTCAATCATGCCGTCACCGACGGGACCTCGTTCTGGCATTTCTTCAACACTTTCGCTGAATTTTGCAAAGGGGCGCAGAAGATCTCGAATTCCCCCGATTTCTATAGGAAGACGGTGTTCAACTCCCCAGCCGTGCTGAAATTCCCCGCCGGCGGACCGAAAGTTACTTTCTCCGGCGATGTGCCGCTCCGGGAGAGGGTTTTCCATTTCAGCAGGGAAGCCATCTTGAAGCTGAAACAGAGAGCCAATAGCAGTACCAGCAACGCCGCCGCCGTCAATTTAATCGAGATTCTGGGGAAGCAAGGCAACGATCACTGGAAAGTCGCCGTCAACGGGGACGGGGACGGGGGCGTCACGAATAATGACAACCTGAAGAGCGGCAACAAAACGGCCCCGTTCGAGGTCTCCTCGTTTCAGTCGCTCAGCGCGCAACTGTGGCGCTCCGTCACACGTGCGAGGAACCTGCCGCCGAGCAAGATGACGACGTTCCGGATGGCAGTCAACTGCCGCCACCGGCTCGAGCCGCGGCTCCACCCTTACTACTTTGGGAACGCGATACAGAGCATCCCGACTCTGGCCCCGGCCGGCGAGCTGTTGGCTAACGACCTGGGCTGGGGCGCGGACTTGTTGCACAAAAACGTCGTCGCACACGGGGATGCTACGGTGCGGAAGGGAGTAGCGAACTGGGAGAAGGACCCACGTTTGTTCCCTCTGGGGAACTTCGACGGCGCGTCCATCACCATGGGTAGCTCCCCGAGATTCCCGATGTACAACAATGATTTCGGGTGGGGCCGGCCGTTGGCGATCAGGAGCGGGAAGGCCAACAAATTCGACGGCAAGATTTCGGCCTTCCCCGGGAGAGAAGGGAACGGGACCGTTGATCTTGAGGTGGTCTTGGCACCTGAAACTATGGCTGGACTGGAGAAGGACGAGGAGTTCATGCAGTATGTTTCTGAAATTATTATGATGTAATTGATTAAGTATTTAACTAAAGAATGTGTGACTGTTTTTTGTTGTTGTTATAATGTGGCACAACTCAGTCGGTCCATTATTGCAATCACATGCTTTGTACATTGCTGGTCTTTATTTTAAGTGTTGCCGACTTGCCGTACAAGTTCATCAGTATTTTCTATCAGTATTTTCTATGGAAGAGTAAAATACCAATATGTATGGAGTGAGGCAGGCATCAGTTTTTGTCCGGTTGAAGGGGCAATTAAACTTATGAATTTTCTACCAAAAAAAAAAACTGAAGTAATTTATCTCATCACAAGTCTAGTTCGTTTGGAGAATCTAGCCCATTTAGGCAACTACGTTCCCTTTCGTTCTGATTTTGTATCAAAATAATAATTCAAGATCGTGGCATGCATTGAAAGGAGTTCGGTTTCAAGATTAAGGGAAAAGGATGAGGAAATTTGGTGTCCATAATCGATTTGGGTTCGTCTTGTACTTTGGCTATTGGATTCGAGGGAATGTTGGTTTTGTTGGGTTGTTCGAACTCATATGGTGGTTGAATTAACCGGTTCTCAAACTTGATTTGGGTTATGGTTGGTTTCTAGAAAATCTTCTATTATTAAAATAAAGAGACTTATTGTTTGGTAAAAATTGAAAGATGATACAACCTTTCAATTTTGGACAGAGAATCAAAAAGAGAGAAACAAAGAGCTGCATTTTTCGTTTCTACAGCAGGCCAGCCTGTTCAAGAGAGCATTATGGAAAATCAAACTGTTGGGTCATCCTGAAATGTGGACAACAGGTTTGGTATTATTTGGGCTTCAATTTGACGGGAGGGATCTTCGTTCTGATCTCTAGTTCGTCGGGAATCTCTGCTGGACAGAATGTGTACGAATTTGTTTTTTTTTTTTTGTACCTCTAATAAACCACTCTTTGTCTTGCTCTTGTTCTAGTTATCCGCCATTTGGTGAGACCTATTGTGGTTTATTGGTGATCCAAGAAGGTAGTTCTTGAGGTGTTTGTAATCCTCTAGTTAGTCTAGAGAGGATTTGTAATCTCACAAAAGTATAGTCGAGTTGTGGGTTGGACAAAGGTCCGGTGGGTTTTCCTGATTTGGGTTTTCCTCGTAAAAATCATGTGTCTTGTGCACTTTGTTCTTGTTTGTTGTTGCTATCCCGTTTCTCAACAGTGGTATCAAAGCATTTTGTTGTTTGGGGGTTGTGTTTAGTGAATGGCAAGAATGGATGACTCAAATGGAGCAATGATCAAGTTGACATCATCCAACTACTCGATATGGAAGTCACGAATGGAGGATATTCTATTTTGCAAGAATCTCTATGAACCTATTAAAAATGGCAGCAAGAAGCTGGAAGACAAGACTGAGAAGCAATTAGAAGTCTTGCATAGAAAGGCGGTGGCAATCATTCGACAATGGATTGACCAAAGCTCTTTCATCATGTTGCAAACGACACAAGAGCATATGAATTGTGGCTAATGCTAGGAGCTTTGTGCTTGTTGAGCTTAATGGTGATTGAAAGAATGCCCCCCCCCCCCCCCCAATCCTTTCTTCGTGTCAAAGTGTAATTCATCCTTGTGTCTCGGAGTTCTCACTTTTGAGCTCCATTGAGGTTCTACATAGGTGGTTTTGCACGGATTTTGCTAGAAATGAAAAGGTAGTGTTGGAGGAAAGTTCTTAATGGAGAGCATTGTTTCGTTTAAAGATAAGTGGCATGTGTTGTACTCTCTAGTACCCCCTTCGAAAAAGAAAAGAGAAAGAGAAAAAGAAAGAAAAGAAACGACAAATAGGTAATAAAGCGGGGTAAATAAAAGTAGAGAGTGGCCACGAAACTCTAAGTGTATGCTCCAAGAAGGATTTCTTGGCACTCAAGCCATTGAAACACCTAAAATGTTTGATAACCTACTTTACTACTAGGTTTTAAAAGTGGATAGCAAGATAGGCCGAAGACGTGTGCTTGAATGTAGTTCGTGATTTAGTTTTGGTTAGGAAGAAGGGAAGTGTGGTTTTTGGCCGATGATAGTGGTCGTCGATTGTAGGAAAGGTTCTTAGTCGAAACTATAGAACCTTTGGGTTTTAGGTTGAAGATGTAAAACCTCATGCCATGTTCGCCACCACCTAAAAAGCATTTTTCCCATGTCCGAGATAATAGTCAGTCATTTGAACCCGTGTCTAAGACCTCAGGACAAGCTAGTGATGACAACTGTCCTGTGAACTCTAGCATATAGAGATTGTCGCCGTGGTGGAGAGACGATAGGGCTGAGTGTTGATGATTGTGCACATCTTTTGCACCAAAATGGTCCCGACCCCACTGGTCGGGAATGAGTGATTCATTCTTGTTTTGCATATTCATATCTTACCCCGGTAAGGACCTATATTTCCCCGTCGTTTGTTTCTTGGACTTGAGTTCTATGCATGGTTAGTTGTGGTTGGCGAGTAGTCCGGTCGAGAATTGCATTGATTTGTGAACAGGGTGAGAACTTTTCATTTGCCCATTCTTGATGCAATCGAATGTTGTTTGTGGTGGATGCCAGTATTGTTTGAGGTAGTTCATGTGTTGATGCCTAATATCCATTGAGATTCACCACTTTGTACCTTTTGATTTGTCCCCAAGTTATTTTGTTAGCTTGGGATATCACCTTTGTTGAAAATGGTTTGCTTGGGGACAAGCAAATGTCTAAGTGCGGGGGAGTGATTCAGGCTCATTTGTACACTTTTTACCCCCGGTTCCCTTAGTTGTTTCAGGCATTTTTACTCTGGGAGGTTTGGTTTTACATCGCGTTTTGTCTCGTTTTGGTGTTTTTCAGACTATGATAGATGGAACCAACGCCAAAGTCGAAAGTTGGACGAAAGCGTGAAAAATCAAGTCAAAGGGTGGAAGCAGCAGCAGATCACGGTGGGAGCTGTGTGTTCACGGTCACTAAGACCGTGAACTGGAGCCGCTAGCCGTGAACCGCCAGGCATCCAGAGCATAAATCACTTCCACTAGAGTCAAGTCAGTTCATGGTCGTAACACCATGAACTCAGGCCATTGGCCGTGAACTGGACTTAGTGATGCTGCGCGTTTTGACTTGAGATCACGGCCATTGCTTTCAGTTCGCGTGCGTGAACTAAGACCGTTATCGAAGCCCGATCTGGGTATAAAAGGAGGTCAAGTTGAAGGAGAAAAGGGAGAAAGAAAAGTAGTGTGAGAAACTTCATCTTCTTCTTCTTCATATTTTTAGAGTGAGAAAGTGACGCACCAAAGAAGAGAAGAAGTTAGGGTTTCATCTTCAAGCAAGGATTTGGGAATTCCTCCACCAAAGGAGGATTTCTTCAGCACGAGGAGCAAGGCTAACATCTCCATGATTGTTTTCATTCTTCTCTCTTGTGTTTTCACTTCTCCTAGCATGGAGTAGTCTCTTCTTTCACTTGGGTGTTCGTAAACCTTAGCTGCAATTATGTGAATGCTTGTATGGATTGAATGATTTGTGTGTGGATGTGTTTATGTGAATTTGGAGGTATTTTCATGAAAAATTGTGTTGTGTGTTTGCCTATCAATCTATTTGCCATTCTAACCTAGGTAGAGAGGAAACTCCCTTTCTTTGAAAGAGGCTTGCAAAGCTGGGTTCTCTTGGTCAATTCTTGTCTCCTATCTAGGTTAATGTAGGGCAACCCTCTTTGTTTGTATTAGCACCTAGGGTTGGTTGTAATAGGTCGGCCGAACTCCGATTCGAGGGTGAAGTCTTGGCAACCCTTAGTCAATAGTTCGAGAGAGCTACTTTGGTGGCTTGAATCGAATTCCCTCGACCTAGAGACCGAGAAAGTGGCGTTTGACTACATATTGCACTTCCCTACAATTTACAACCACCTTACCACACACGACCATTCGACAAGACAAGTCATAATTCTTAGCTAGGGGGAGCAACACCCGGGTGAGGCCTTCTCAATTAGTGTCAAATCCATTTACTTTTCCAAACGTTTTAGCCATAGATCATTATTTTCACCAACAAAACCATTTACTAGATAATGTTTAAAACAATCTAAGTAGGAGTATAGGAACTTGCCCGGGTTGACATTTAAACATACTTGTCCTATATTGAACCTGATATTGACATATTCCAACATGTTTTTCCTGTCATTTCTTGACCGTTCTCGCTTGGTTTTCACTCTCGTGGCCTATTTTAAGTTAGGTTGTGCTTGTTTATAATGTTTCATGACTTAACACGTGAAAGGGTGTGAATGAGCGAAGTTCAAGACTATTTGGAGCGGAAGGGCAGTTTCCTCTCGTGAGTTATGACCAGACCTTGCAAGTTACGGTATGGCCCGTAACTCAGCAAAGGAGCCCATAAGTTGCAGACGTGAACATGAAAGAGTTCCAGGAGCTTCTCTTAAGTTACGGGCTGACCCCTCAAGTTACGGCCATGGTCGTACCTCAGCTAGGGTACCCGTAACTCCTAGGAAGCATAACAATGGAGTTCCAGAACCATTTTATGAGTTACGGTCTCTCTACTCAAGTTACGGTCGAGGCCGTAACTCACTAAAGGAGGTCGTAACTCTTGGATGAAGATAGTGCAACAACGGCGCCGTTTCTCAGCAAGTTACGGGCTGGCAAGGCGAGTTACATCCGTAACTCAGGCCGTAACTTGCGGATTCTCAGTCTACTTATAGGCTGCTCGAGAAATTTGCAATGGATCTTATTTTTTCGAGTTCTAAAGACAAAAACGAAACCCTAGAGAGAGAGTGACGAAGAGACACCCTTGGGAAAGGATTGGAGCGATCTGAAGACATCGGAGCTCGAGTCCCCAACCTCGGAGTACCAATTAGGTGCCAGGAGCAATCTTCCATTGTCACCATGGTGATTTCTACTCCGAGCATGTCGTTCTCACAGCTCTCCATGGAGTAATTTTCTATTTCATCTAGGTATGAAGATGATTGTATGAACCCCATGGTATGAATGATTGTTTGGATAAATTCAGTTGAGGAATTATTCAGAATTGCATGAGTCCTGATCAAACCTGTGTAATTCCAGCTTTAACCTAGAACGATAGTCTCTGGATAGGTTAAAAGTGCAATCTTTAATTGAAAGTGGTGAATCGACTACTTTAGTCGAGAAGTTGATTCACTACTCCGTACTGGAACATAAGGCCAGTAGTGGAAGTTTTGCATGATTATCCTTGGTGACAGTATACCGGTGGAGGTTAGTCACCCGCTGGGTATTCGAATCTAGAGGCTCTGGACCACTTGAGTTGAGAGTCTAGACTAGTTAAGAACTTTCCGCGGTTTATCTATCAATCTAAGTAATTTGGGACCGTATAACCTGAACAAGCTAAACACTAGGGGGATCCATATCTGAATGACCTTTTGAACTTGACAGAACCATACCATTACTTGTTTCCTTGTTTCTTTTGCACTGAAAACACTTCACTCTCTTGTTCCCGCTAGATAATAGAAGTTCAATGAGTAGGAAGTAGACCTAGAGCCCGGGTTGATAATTAGACTTAACCATTATTCTATATTTCATTTCTGCGATTATACTTGGTCGTAGATTGGTGTTCTGTTATAGTGTGTCAAGTTTTTGGCGCCGTTGTCGGGGAACCCCTCTAGGTTATTGGAGAAACTTTAACATCTGTTACATTAGCATTTACTTTTCTGTATTTTTCCTTTTCCCCTTTGTGCCTTCACGGGTTGTGCTTGCAGTCTGTGTGTAGGTAGTGCATGACTCGTAGCCAGTCGGGAGAATTACTACCGTTGGATCCGGAGCTAGAACGTACTTGTCGTCAGCTTAGTAAGGAACAACGAGCAAGACTGGCTACGGAGGAAGTGTAAGTCGATGGCCATCTTAGCAACGACTCCGAGCAGGAGTACGATATGGGAGACGAGCACAACAGGGTGAACCTGAACCTGGGGCAGAACCCACCCCTGGGGATGCCTCTCCAGGTCCCCCCAGTGATTCAGGTTGTAGCCAATAATGCAGCTCCTCAAGCAGAGAATGCTCATCATCAACCACCTCTGCAGGGTCCTACCATGGAGTACTTCTATACTCCGCGGATTGCCGACATCCGCCCAGTCATCCAGTATCCTCCCATTCCTGCTAATAACTTTGAGATCAAGCCATGCTGGATTCAACTGATAGCAACCTGCCAACCTCTATCCAGTTTCATGGCCACAAGAATGAAGAGACGAGGGTGCACCTTTCTCGGTTCTTGTAGTTTACTAATGGATTCAAGCTGAACGGTGTACCAGATGATGCGATCCGTCTTCACCTCTTCCCCCACTCTCTGGCGGGGCATGCGAAGAGGTGGCTAGAGACCCAGCCACCATTGTCCATCACTTCTTGGGACGATCTGGCCAACAAATTCGTGCACCGGTACTATCTGGCCTTGAAGACTGCGGAGATTCAGCGGGAGATCACTCATTTCCGTCAAGAAGATGATGAGTCACTGCGAGATGCTTGGGAGTAGTACTCGGACTGTTCTAGAAGTGTCCCCATCTGCTCACTTGACCTCAAAGGGTGCTGCATTCTCCAATACACATTACATTTAGTGACCACACTAAATCCACACGTCCCAACTTCAAACCAAATATCAACTCGGAGATCAAAGTAAATTGCCGTCAGACTAACACGCTGATTCATAGCAATTTTTTAGATCTCAAATAGCATTTCACATTTTCTAGTCCATTCCCTAGGGCTTTCACTGGAAAAATTAGGGAAATCTAGCCTACAAAGTTAATACTTATTAATACTTCGATGAGGCAGAAATTGTTCAAGATCACCACCTCTATTCATCTGACCATGAGCTGGAGGCGGAAGATTTGATTTTTGGTGTGATCACTTTGACCCCAACGCTAGCCACCGAATGAGGTGGATGTGGAAGAATACCTCGATCGTGATTTTGATCCACCCGCAGTTCTTCTGCACCGGCTCGGCTCGTTAATAAATGGCTCGAGCTCAGCTCATTTCTTAACGAGTCAAGCTCAAACTGCTGGGGTAAAACTCGGCTCAGCTCGGCCCATTTACAGCCCTATCCTAACACCTATTGTTTTATTAATAAATGTGTCTTGTGTTCATATTCTTGCTTTCATATTCTTATTTTCATATTCTTGCTTTATTGTTCCTCCTATTTCCCAATTAAAAAAAAAAAAAAAAAAGTCGATCACACAAGCAAATGCATACCGCAACCTATGGACTCATGAAAGTGGAACGAGGTACAGAGGACTCTATATCACTCTCTCTTTTTCATATGAAATTTCTGATTTTGAACCAAATCAAGCCAAATACAAATTCGTAAGACTATCCATGTCATTTCCACTTGCACAACAATAGACCACCCGCCATTTCCATGGTCTACCAATCTTTCACACAAATAGGATTCCAATGGCATCTCGCAGACCGGTTTCAATAATCCCCCCCACATATATACACCGCTTCTCAGTTTTTAATCTTCCGAACCCAACTGGCGCCTTTCATTGATAATGAACTTCAGGAGACGGGAAGATTCTCTTCACCAGCCACTGCAAAGGTCTGAGAAGCAGTGCTCTCTTCTTGCGCCAGAACCAAATGGCAGCATTGTACTGCTCGTTCCGGATCATCTTGGTGGCAGCCCTCCAATCATACTGCTCCATCTCTATCCGTGCTGCTCTCCCCATGGTCTCCCTCAGTTCTTCGTTACGAAGCAAAGTTCCCAACTTGTCCACGCAGTCATCGAGATCCCCAGGACTGAATAAAAACCCAATTTTGCCTTCCAGCTCCGGTGGGATTATGTCTGGAATGCCACCAGCTCGAACCCCGACCACAGGGATTCCTGAAGACATGGCCTCCAGAACCACCAGCCCCAGGGTCTCGGATTCAGAAGGCATCACAAACACGTCTCCACTTGCATATGCTTGGGAGAGTTCTTCTCCTCCCAACATTCCAGTGAATACAGCTGGCATCCCTTTAAACAACTCTTCCAGCTCCGGTCTGCAAAATAATGCCACTCATCAAGTGAGAAACACAAGTGGCTGGAAGAAAGAGTTTTGGTTTTGAAGAGTGTAGAAATATGCACTAGTTACCTATACGGTCCATCTCCAACAAACGCAATCCTAGCATCTGGAAGCCTATCCATCACGCTGGTGTTCAAATTCATTCTCAAATGTCAATTGGGAAGCAGATTATGCAGAGTAGATCTTTGCAAAACAAACGATAGAGAGAAAGAGGTGGTGGATTTTCGAAAGACAGTACCTTTTGAGGAAGTCCAAGCTCTTCTCAACTCCAAGTCGGCCAACGTGGACTATCAATGGTTTCTCAGGTTCCCCATTGCTGTTTAGAGCAATCACCAAGAGAACAGTGTGAAAACTGGCACGATAGGTGAGAAGAGCCGGTTTTAACTGAGACAATGGTGTGAAAACATGGGGCTTACGTTAATCTCACTCGCATTTCGTGTGAACGGAATTGAGGGTTAAAGCTCTCAGAGTCAACGCCCTTATTCCAAAGACGAATCCTATTAGCTGCCCATAAGCAAAAAAACCAGTCAGTATGTAGAGAAGTGTACACAAAAAGGTAGAGATTTTAAATGAAGTTGCCTGATAAATTTCACAGTAAACATAAGTCTTTACCTGCTGCCACTTGAGCTGCTAGGAGATCCCTCCCAATGGCAGCTGAAGGTACCAGAGTAAGATCAGCAGCTTGGTGAAGGAACTCTGACAAAAAATATTTACTTGTTAGCTAAGACACTAAAACCATTTGGCTATGAGATTCACTGACGAAAGGTTAAAAGGAAAAGTCCCACATACTTATGACCATCCACATGGGCTTCACCAGCCAACTAAAAGTGTACCTAGGGATGTATCTGAAAAATGGAACAAGGATCAATCTCTATCTTCTGACTCATGAATATGGTGCATAAATGACAACTAACTTCGCAGAACCAAACTTACACAGGGACATGAGTATGATACGACATCACTATGGGAACACACAACATTTTTGCAATAGCAAGGGCACCAAAAACCTGATAAACAGGTCATGAATTTGTCAGCATGTCTCAACAAGAGCAGCATACATATATACAGTGATAAGTTAGCAGATATACAACTAACCATAATTCCTGGGGATGATGCATGTATGATATCCGGCTTGAATCTGGCAACCTCGGATATTATTCTAGGACTAAGTGCTAGGGACAAGGGTACTTTCTGATACCAGGGGCAAGGAAAGCTGACAATAATAGGGGAGATTAGTTCACATCTCAGAGAATGCAAAGCTAGAATCTAAAACAATAGCCTAAAGTTGATATGGCGTTATCACTTGGTACCTTCGCGATCCAATCAATTTCGCACCATAAAACTCTTGGGGTACCCCTTCATGTGTAGTCACCACCATCACCTGCATCATTCATACATATTTGGTATCTAGCAAAGAGAACTCGAGAAAACCAAGAAGGCTAAGACCCAATCAAATAAAACTAGAACACAAATACTACATCCTAAGTCCAAACTTCCAGTGGGCAACTAAACCTGATCTCAACTATATCTCAAGCATAGGAAGTCATATCCTGATTAGCCAAAACAAAGCACATTATCTCAAAGAACAAAAGGATTACCTCATCCCCCATTTCGCGCAAGTACTTGATAAAATTCTGGAACCGGTTCTTGTACCCTGAGACATATCTGCAAAATGAAGCAAACAGGTTGCACTAACTCAGAACACACATAATAAGGACATCATAGGATTGCGGAGCAGAAATCACATGTACTCATAATTATTAGTCATCCAGTCCAATCAATGGCAAGTTTGTGGCAGTGTGACCAGCATTGAATTATAAACCAATGAAGGACCAAACTTTTGGTAATATGGAAAGGATTTTTGAGTTCTAATAAAGAGCACCAGAACCATGTCTTCCTAAACGTTTCAATTAAACAGTATAACGATCTGCAGAAAAACTGGAGGGTCTACTCAATCCAGCCAATCCATGGATATCACAGAAACCTATGCTGAGTAACAGCTAAACCTTAATTTGGTGTAAGCAACAAACTGACGAATTCACGACTTGCAATTAATTAACCGAAAGTTCATGTCGACATTGGAAAAGTCCCCAGCATAAGTAGATCCAAAACTTTACACAGCTGACTGGCCGTACAAGAAAATTGTCTAAGGACTGATACTGGAAACCATAGACACCTTATTGCAATCGCCACGCCCACACAATATAAAAAATAGGCCATGGAGCATAAATTATAGAATGCTGATCAAAGAAAGTCAATGCCAAGAGACACCAGGAGTATGTCTCACAATCCCAAAATAACTTGTAATTTAAGACGCAACAATTTAAGACGGTAAGAAAAAGAGAGGGAGAGAGGCTCACGCAAAGGGAGAAGGCTCAACAAACAGAGCAATCCGACGGGGCCTGGAATTGGTCTCTGAATCTAGCAAAAGGGGAGGATTCTCTTCCTCTTCATTCTCTTCCTCTTTAATGTACTCAGAGATGGTCATTCTGCCGCTGCCACTCCCTTCTTCAGCTCTAACAACACAACCCTTTCTCCTGTAACACTTGTTTAATCCAATCTCTTCGGCAAATAGGCTGATGGGTTTTGCTCTGCGTGACCTAAAGCTCGAAACTTTGAAGGAAACGGAGGAAGGGGTAGTAGTAGAGCAAAGAGAAGTAGCAGTAGCAGAAGAAGAGGAAGAGCAAGTAGTTGTGGAGAAAGGAGAGAGAGTGGGATTTATAGAGAGTGTCATAATGGGATTTTCACAATAATATAGGAAGGAAGAGCAGAAGAAAAAGAAGAAACCTGGGAGAGAACGGGATGTGTGAGCGTGAGAAAGATGAGTTGGGTTTGATGATTGATAATAGAGAGAGCGAGAGAAAAGCTAAAAAAGAATTTTTTTTTTTTTTTAAATATCTATGCCAAATGTGTTTGGGCCAATTGCCATCTATCTGTGAGAAAGAATCTCTGAAGGTACAATGACAATGGATATTCTGATCTCCGCCCAATATAATTAAGAAGAACAAGCGGGCGGGGTATCGAAAAAGAAGCGCATGTGAGTATATGCTGCGTGGGACACAGACAGTCTCGCTGGGGTTTACTTCCAACTTGATCATGTATCGGCATCATTCCGGTACGTGTGCTTTGGGGCTGTTTGATCCGTTTCTCTCACTCACTCTCTCTTTCTTTTCCCTACGGCCAATTGCCGGTTGTAAAGGGAAAATTGCATCGCTCACTTTCCTCATGTCATGATAAAACCCTCGACCCCTTGTCCTTCTAATATAACCATGTACGATTTTCAAAGGACCCGTTGAGCTACAAAAGTTAACCCTAAACTATGCAAAAAAAGTTTAAACTATTAACTCTTTGGTTAGTATTTTCGGTAAAACCATTGTTAACAATTAACTCACTTATGTTGATTCATAGAGAGATTGGTGGCAGAGACGAGTTGAGATTGGGAAAGAAATGAAGGTGGGCGATGAGGGCAATGATGAGGATGAGTAAGAGTAGGAAGGAGAGGAAGTGTGGTTTCATGGTCAGTGGGTAGATTGAGTCAACATAGGTGAAACCACACGTTAGGTGGAGTTTTGATGAAATCGCATAGGAAAAGTATGAAGTGTTACCTTTTTTTTCTTGACTGAAACATGTAGGACTTTATTGATAAGGAATCGAGGTTATACAATCCAGTAATAGCTTATCAATAAGATAAATTGGTGGTCAAACCAGATTGTAGTCTCATTCCATCGAGTCTTTGTGTGTGCCATTATATGAGCAGTCATATTGTCCTCCTGGGGTACATACAGCCACTTTGCATTGCATAATCCATCAAGCTGGTGTCGGATGCTCCTGCATATCAACCTTGTCTTGGATTGGATATTTTCTTACCTTTTCAAGCTTGTAAGCTAAAACAGGCAATCTGTTTCCAGTGTATTGCTCGACTTGTGACATTGTTGGGCCAACTAAACACCCATCTCAACCGCTAATGCTTCATCAGTTTCAGTGTTCCGGTTACCCGAAATGTTACTTACAAAAAATAGAATAAACCGGCTTTCCTCACCTCGTATGACCACCCCCAGGACTGGTCCCCCCTTTCAATACACTCTCAACATTAGTATTAATTTTAAACATGTCCAACGATGTTCACTGCAATGTATGTTTTGCAAAAATGGCTGGAGAAAGTTTGTAGATCTTTAATCATGTTTGGACCATGGTAGCACCTCATGTCTCTATGTATTACATTAGCATCTTACCGTATGAATTTTTTTCTAGTGCCATCTTTATTACTAGTCACGGACCCGGCCAATTGGCCGAGTTCATTTCAAGAACCGCATATACGAAATTAGCAATTAATACGCAAGATACGTGTTTGTTTGATAGTATAAGAAAATCTAAATTATTGTCCAGCTCCAATCACATGGGGGAGGCGACAAAGATGTTCTCATCCATAGAAGTAGGGTTGCAAAGTCATCAATCACTCTTGACAACCTTGGCCACAAGGATGGGGGCTATCTCGCAAGCAGCTCTTTCCCAGAGACAATCATATGAAGAGGAATTGGGGCTGGTGACCCTTCATAGTGGGAGAGAAACAATAGAAGTACCCCTCAAGAAAAAATCTCTCAGGATAGAAGAGCGAAACAAAGCCACTCCTTCTCCCGACCAAGAAGGGGGCACAAGTACCACTGGTGGGGATAAGGCAGACTCGACTCCTCAATAAGAACAGAAAAAGTTCTCATCCATAGAAGCAAGGTTGCAAAGTCATCAATCACTCTTGACGACCTTGGCCACAAGGATGGGGGCTATCTTGCAAGCAGCTCTTTCCTAAAGACAATTATATGAAGAGGAAATGGGGCTGGTGACCCTTCGTAGTGGGAGAGAAACCATAGAAATACCCTTCCAGAAAAAATCTCCCAGGGTAGAAGAGCGAAACAAAGCCACTCCTTCCCCCGACCAAGAAGGGGGCACAAGTACCACTGTGGGGATAAGGCGGACTCGACTCCTCAATTAGAACAGAAAAAGGGGAAATCAAGTCCACCTCTTCCTTACCCCTCCAGACTCTACACAGATCGCATGGTGGTGGAGTTTGCTCACTTCATGGAGTTGATGACCAATTTCACCTTAACATTCCATTTGTTGAAGCCCTCACACAGATGCCCAAGTACGCAAAGTACTTGAAAGGCTTCTGCACGAACAAGAAGAAGCTGGAAGGAATGGCTACCATGACCCTGAATGAGGAGTGCTCAGCCATCCTACAGAACCACCTTCCCGCAAAACGCAAAGATCTAAGGAGTTTCACTATCCCTTTTTTTAATGGCAATGTGTGCATAGGGAAATCCTTGGCTGACGGAGGGGCTAGTATTAGTGTGATGTCGTATAGGTTGTTTAAAAAGTTAGACCTAGGTGAACCTAGAACTACTAGGATGAATATCCAGTTGGCTGATAGATCCATAGTGCATCCTAAGGGTGTGGTTGAGGATCTACTTATTAAGGTTGAGACCCTTATTTATCCGGTCGATTTTGTCATTCTTAACATCGACGATAATGTGGATGTCCCCCTTATTCTGGGTAGGCCTTTTTCGACCACCCTAAAGGCATTGATCGATGTGCATGGGGGAAGTTGGTACTCAGGGCGGGGGAGGAAGAGGTTACCTTCTCAATAGATGATAGCATGAAGTTTTCTTACCTCCATGATGACATTTAATATTGTGACAATGTATCCGATTTCATTGCAGCACTCGCTTCTGCGGTGCCAATCCTACTGACCCCTTTGAGGTATGTTTTTTAGTAGGCACTATTGAGTCGGAGCCTCAGGAAGAGGAGGGAAAAATCATCACAACTTGAGGAGGCTTGCATTGGGACCCACGAAGTGGAAGTGGAAGCCTTACCCCCCATGCCCAAGATTCCTACTTCTTTGGAAGAGCCACCAGAGTTGGAGTTGAAGCCATTGCCTCCCCACCTTGAATATGCCTTCGTGAGGGACGACGGCAAGCTCTCGATCATCATCAACTCCAACCTCACATCCGAGCAGAAAACCAGTTGATTGAGATCTTGCGTCATCATAAGAGGGCCATTGCATGGAAGATCACCGATATCCGAGGGATCGGGCCTTCATATTGTTCACACAAGATCCTCATGGAAGAGGGCGCCAAGCCAGTCCCCCCAACCTCAACGACATGTGAATCCTAACCTGGAGGAAGTGGTGAAGGCCGAGGTTATTAAGCTCTTGGATGATGGGATCATCTACCCCATTTTCGACAGTCAGTGGGTAAACCCGACTCAATTGGTTCCCAAGAAAGGAGGGATGATAGTGATGGTCAATGAGAAGGAGGAGCTCATACCCACAAGGACGGTGACTGGATGGAGGGTGTGCATTTCTATCGTCGATTGAACGATGCCACTCGTAAAGATCATTTCCCTTTTCCTGTCATTGATCACATTGTGGAGAGGCTCGCGGGTCACGACTACTACTGCTTTATAGATGATATGTCTGGATACTTCCAAATACTGATTGCCCCTGAAGATCAAGCTAAGATGACATGCACTTGCCTGTTCGGGACATTCACTTATAGACGCATCCCGTTTGGATTGTGCAATGCCCTGGCCACATTTCAGAGATGCATGGTGGCGATCTTCGAAAAGCTTGTGAGGGAGATAATGGAGGAGTTCATGGATGACTTCTCGGTATTCAGGGATTCATTTGCTCACTGCTTGCCTAATTTGGAGAAGGTTATTGCGCAGTGTGAAGAGACCAATCTGGCTTTGAGTTGGGAGAAGTCACATTTTTTGGTGTGAGAGGGCATTGTATTGGGGCATAAAATTTTGAAGAAAGGCATTGAGGTGGACCGATCCAAGGTTGAGACCATAAGCAAGCTTCCCCCTCCGACATCAGTTAAAGGCATCTGGAGCTTCCTTGGGCATGCGGGATTTTATCGCCGGTTTATAGAAAACTTCTCAAAGGTCACGCTACCCTTAACAAAGCTTCTGGAGAAGGATGCACATTTTCTCATCATGAAGGATTGTTTTTAAGCTTTCAATATCCTCAAGGCTAGGCTCACAAATGCTCCGATCATGGTTTCTCTGGAATGGACCCTCCTTTTCGAGCTTATGTGTGATGCTAGCGATTATGTAGTGAGAGCGGTGTTGGGTCAAAGGCGGGGTAGACATTTCCAACCCATATGCTACGGCTCAAAGACATTGAATGAGGCTCAAGAGAAATACGCAACTACTGAAAAGTAATTGTTGGCAGTCATCTTTGCCTTCGACAAGTTTCGGTCCTATCTTGTGCTGTCGAAGGTTATTGTATACACCGGTCATTCCGCCATCTGTTTCTTGATGAGCAAAACCGATGCCAAATCCCGTTTGATCAGATGGATCCTACTTCTCCAGGAATTTGATGTGGAGATCAAAGACAAGAAAGGAGCTGATAATCTTGCGGCGGACCACCTCTCCCGACTTGAAGGTCCTGAGGGAAGCAATTTCCAAGGCGAGATAAATGACAATTTCCCCGATGAGAGGTTATTCCTGCTTGCCGCCGTTGAGAGTGCCACCCCGTGTTCCGCCGACTTGGCCGATTATTTGGTCGGAAGGCAACTACCAAAGGGGATGAATACATATGAAAAAAGGAAGTTTCTTTCCGACCTCTAATACTACTTTTGGGATGATCCTCACCTTTTTCGGATTGGGGCCGATAGGATCATTCGAAGGTGTGTACCGAAAAAGGAAATTGTGTCATTCTAAGCCAATGTCACGACGGGCCGACTAAAGGGCATCATGGTGGAAACCGCACTGCAAGGAAGGTGCTTCAATCGGGATTCTATTGGTCGTTGATGTTCCACGATGCTGATTCATTTGTATAACACTGTGATAGCTGCCAAATAACAGGTAATGTCTCTAACCGAAACAAGATGTCCCAAACGGTTTCCATTACATGTGAGATTTTATATGTCTGGGGCATCGATTTCATGGGCCCTTTTCCCTCGTCTTTTGGAAATAAGTACA